TATTATTAGTGAGGCCCACGTGAAACTCCTCTCCAGAGGGCAATATAATTTCTCCTTCCACCCTCAACCCTTGGATTTTTCTCTTTATTGACCCTCTCTGGTCACCAGATGTATTTTGGGAAAAATCCGCAATGAAAAGTCCCTTTGGGACTTTCCCCTTTTTTTCATAACATAAAGGAAAGGTCCCAGCAACAAAGAAATAAATATTTCTTAAATCCGGAAATATAAAAACTCTAGAAGAGTGAATTTTTAATTTGGGAGAAAATCCCGAAATCCAAGACAAACAAATCAAGAATTTCGAGAGAAAAATGTCTATGATTTACTCCAATCTCGAACAAGTTTTGACAAAAATCGAATTTATTCTTCGACCTCCGTCTCAATTGAGACTGAAATCGCGTCAGAGTAGAAACTTTTTCTCGTTCTCACATATCGAAAAACAATGACGTAGTAATTGCTGGTAAATTCTCAGCAGCGATCTCATTGGAGCATTAAATTTCCTGGTTAGTGGGTGAGTTTTCCGTGTGCAGGTGATAAGAGATTGGCTGGGTTGGGTCACGGCTATCACCTAGAGACCCGATAATGACCCCACTTGACCCCCACCTCTCCAACCCACTATTCAGTGATAAGGCAGATAAATTACTCCTCCATTCCATTTATCCTCTTTCTCACATGAATACTCGTTTTTTTTTTATTCATATAACCCTACCTAGAGTACTTTCCTTCATTATTATTCATAAATAATCAAATTAATTAGATATTGATTTTATTGGAAGTCAGATTAATGAATGAATGAAACATTTATCTAACATTAAGGCCCGGGTAGACTATCTTTCGAATGTCATCTTTTGTTTAAATTTTATCTTTTGAGCCTAAAATACATTAAAATGTGGGATCAAATTTGTGTTGCGGAAGCTACTCGAATGGTTATAAAAAAATAATGAAAAAAAAGAGGAAAAATTATTGAAGGGCGCTAAAGAGCAATATTGTTTAAAAGGGATCTACCAAGTTTACAAAAAAATAATAAAAATTACGCAGCTTACCATTGCTCTCCAGAAGATTGAGTGACAGCTAGATGCAATAGTAAGCTACGTATTTTTTATTATTTTTTAGCAAACTTGGTAAATCCCTTTTAAATAATATCGATCTTTAGCGCCCTTCAATAATTTTTCCTCTTTTTTTTCATTACTTTTTCATGTCCATTCAAGTGCTTCCCGCAACACAGAATTGATCCCAAATGTTAATGTATTTTAGGTTAAAAAGATAAAATTTAAACAAAAGTCGACGTTCGATAGATAGTCCACCTGGGCCTTAATTCAATAAAGATCTCGAAGAGATTTCATATTTAAGGGTGTTGTCACGTAGAATTTTTTTTCGACAGTTGTCGTTAAAAATTTTATGGTGAATAGTTTGAAAAATTAGCAACAAAATGAGCTTTTTCCGTTTGCAATTGACCGTTTTGAACTTGAGATATAAATTTTTGAAATTCGAGTGATTTAACACGTGTTTAAATGGAGTTTTGCCGATTAGAATTTTTTAAAAATCAACGGCTCGACAGTTTCAGAAATAAAAAAAAACGTGGAATATACATCGTGGGAGGAAATACAGAAAAAAAAATCAAATCGATTGACCGTTTGGTTTACGGAATATAATCATCGGAAATTTATAAATTTATATAATTGAAAATAGTTAATATGGAAAATATATAGTTATGCTTTAGCTATCCATGCACAATGCAATCAATCAAGTGAGACTATATACCGCTAAAAGATTGTGTTCTAAACTGGCCCGTTTTACAGCGGATAAACTTTTTACAGAGACTGTCGCGCGACAACAACCTTAATAAACATTCATTTGGAGATTCGTCGTATAAAAAATGACCTCATCCAATAAATTAAACTCATATAGATCTGTAAAACATCATATTGTTTTAGTCCTTCTCAATAGTGGAATTTATTTATGAAATTTATTGTGTATTTTAGCAATAATTATTCAATTATTGACGTGAACATTCAATTGTACCGGTAGAATTTCAATGGGAATTGTGAGAATGGATTTTGAGGAGGTTGAGGGCCTATGGGCATGTCAATGACAGATATCAGCTTGATAGAGGCTTACAATGGTTGAAGGGATCTAGAGTGTTGAGTGAAGGTGGAATGACAGCTTCTCCTCATCATTCTACCTCCTCTTCTGATGCCAGAAATTCTGGCATTTCTCATCTCGGATATGAAACAGAGGGTGCCGTCGGCGGTTTCCGGTTACTGGTTGGCTCTCTCATGCCCTAGAGCAGACACTGCAGACAAATAATATGCGCTTATTGCTGTTGCTGTAACTTAGCGTCGACCTAATGCACTTCAAACTCAAAATTTTCATTTGGAGCGTGACTAACGTACGATGAGATTATTGACAATGATATTATTAGAAAAGAATGATGAATTTGAATGATTTTTCGTATTGGAAGTTTGAGGTGCAGTGGGTGCAGTGGGAGGATGGGAGGATGGGAGGATGGGAGGATGGGAGGATGGGAGGATGGGAGAGAGAGAGCACCTCAAAGGGACTTGTAAAATAGCAATGGCATTGGAATAATGGGACTACTGTGACTAGTCAGTTTGATGTGGAATAGCACAAAGCGATGCTCTCAGCATCCTTGAAGCATTTCCTCATCGCTGGGAAATGGCGGGCAACAGGAAATGGATAGAAATGGATCTTGATGTATTTACCATCTTCATGCAGATTGGGGTATGTTTAAACAGAGGTTTACTGAATTTAATTAGTATTGCCGTAGTGCTAGTGTCACGTATCATGAGATGTTTCCAACTTGGTGAATAAACGTTAGCTATAGGTGCTTGTAGCTGAGTCGAAATGAAGATAGATCGGGCTATTACGGTTTCAGATGATTGCTTCAGTTGATTAAACTCAGCAGAATTTCTCAAGTCGATGGATCAGTCGGTTCCATTATTAACGCGCCAAATCAATAGCCGAAGAACCTAGAGCTGGTAGAAAGAGTCTTTGTTTGAATGGTATTATTAATTAATAAAATAATGCAATCGATAATTGTTTGCATTTGTGGAAAACTCATTGATATGGAAATTAGGCAGGAACATTGAGCATGTACATGTGGTTTCGTTGAGCCACGAGCGACGATCGACGAGCCATATAGTTACACAATCTATCGTCATCAATTACATTGTTGGCTCATTAAAGGGTTATTGCTTTTCGATAACGAGTACCCTTGGGCGCAGAACCAACCAAATAGCTTGTGTGCATATCAACTATTCAATTGCATATTTCCCGAGGGACAAATCCCTGACGAACTCGTTGTCCTTCTGCCATTTTCTGATTTTCCATCTCTTTCATCTCCAGGGAAATTATCATGGCTTGTCGTTGTTACTTACCACTCTCCAATTAGTCAAATCTAAGAAGAGATAAATAAAAGTTCATCAAGATTTATTGTCAGGGGAGAATTTAAATAAAATAAAAATTGTCATAATTTTATCATTTCCGCTTGCTGATATCCATCACGATAGTTCCACGCATCGATCCTTGCAATTCTCCACTCTTCGAAAATTACATTTTCTTCCGTTGAAAACACAAATGTTTCGTTTGACAAACCAACCAATAAAACTTCACCATAGAATTTCTCTAAAACTCTCGAGGCAACTGTGAAATTTATTCCCCTCGCCTTTTCCGTGGCTTTACTGTGCATTTTTTTTTACGCGTTGGCCCAAAAGTTCGCGCTTTATTTTTAGAATTTATTTATGTGCCTTTTACTTTTACACTCGTATTTTCCATCTTCTGTTGGTAGTAGGTACAGCTGTGGAAAACCTCATGATTTTGCCTTTTTTGTCGCCAAGTTGTATGATTACACTAGTAACGTGTTTTATAGTTTCATGGCGCTATTCCATCCCACTCATCTTCTTTCGTCAGAACTTTTCTTCTTTCCAATCCAGTATTGTTCTATTTTTATTTTTAAACAACATTTATCACGATAATCAAACTTCTTCAGCCGTAGTTTCATCCAATTTTTTCCACTGTCACTTCCTTCTCCATTCATTTCTCATCGTTCTCAGGGTAGTGTCAAGAGGGTGAAGAGTTTAATTGCGAAAATATTCACAATCCAGTGGAAGATACTGAGGGGTGCATAATGAAACGCTGTGAAGTAATAAGTGAAGAGTACTTCAGCGCGGTCCATTAGAATGATTTTTTTTAATTGGTGTAGAACCATTAAAAATAATTCTTCATTCCATTTTTTTTCATGCTTCAAACAATTTTTCACCCTTTCGATTTAAAATCCTTGTAACTGTCCTATTATCTACAAATAATCAATTTGTTCCTGGCATGGAGCCTAGATCCATCCAAATCGGTTAAACTATCAGATTAATTATTAATATGTATTAATTATGCTCTGCATCTCAAAAACACGTCGAAATTTCAAACAATTGTTACATCTTCGCTAAATCATGCAAAACAATCTATAATTCACAAAAGTATATCGAACTGATGGTTAAAAAAATGAATTGAGGACGAAAGAAAAACATAAACATAAATAATAAATAATAAATAATAATTTCCCAAGAAGAATCATTGGGGGGTTCTGCCTTTGATGATGAATATTCTCATGGTCTTTGTGGTCAGTCAGTCTCATGGAGATATTGATAGAGATCAGGCGTTCCTCTTCCTCGTGCATTTTAATTAAGAAAGTGATTAACGTAAATAATTGTTTCAATTAATTCAACTATTCCATTTCCAATAAAATCCCTGGAACTTTGGCAAACACATATTCCTAACATCGTCATCTCCATCACGTACAGATTGAATCCCTGCGTGAATATTCGTTTTCCCAGCCCCGTCATCCCTGTAGCCCATTAATATTCATCGACATCGGTATTCTATTCCCCGGATGGTGTTGGTGAAAAAATTGCTAGATAGAGGTGTAAGATATAAAAATTGATTTTAAAAAGTGTCCATTAAAATGGTAATACCGTAATTCTTCCTCTTTGCAGGTTTCCACGAGGCAGTGAACGATATGGACTTGGATCATGGTGAGCATCAGTATAATTCGTCACTCAAATATTATAATCAAAATGATAATTCGATAGACAAATTCATTCATATTACACGTATTACGAGCCATTACCCCTGGCCAGTACTCAAATAAATTTGCTGCTTCGACTGTTACGGCTTTACCTGGAAAGCAGCTCTCGGTCAGGTGAATTTGTCACTTGGAGTACAAATTTAGGGCGTCGTTTGTATGTTATCATTAAAAAAATCGAATAGTCATATTTTCAAAGGCGATTGTTTGAGCCACTCGTTCATTGCATGCAAACACGATAGCTAAAATAAAAGACGAGAAAAGACGAACGTCAGTATTCGACAGTCGACTCGCGAGTTAAAATGTTGATAACAATAAGCGGATTAATTATTGTTATCGTATCAGTGGTAGCGAATTTCGACGAGCGTTGGAAGTTTCATAATTCAGATGTTACTTCAATGGCTATGGTATGATAATTACGCTAATACGGATTTTTTCTGGAAAATAAATAATGACAACATTAATATTATAGAAAAATATTATCGAAAGATGCTACAAGGATTATGTTAGGTCGAATCCGATGGTTATACTTGGAGATTTCGAGGGACGAATCCTGAAATCCCTGAGCGAATCGGTTCTGATTCCAATGATTATCATGGACACTCAGTCTGACTGTCTTGAAGGTGATGAGAATGATGAGCTGTATAATTTTCAACCCAATATCGTGGTTATCGTGAAAGAATCACTAGAGCAGCTGAAATCTGATTTACAATTACTGCGACAAATCAACCGATGGAATCATATGGCTGGATATTTTATTTTGGATAGCTCAGAAAAATCCTGTGAAGAGGCATTGGACAGTTTATTAATAATGTGGGGTATGAACATTCCGACGTCATCATACATTTGTTTGAATATAGATCAGGCAATTGTACTGTATACACTCAATCCAATAACGAATTACGCGCCTCATCCCTGGCAAATAGTGGCTAATGCACCAGAGTTTAATTCCAGTGGCCGATGGGCTCTTTACACTCAATTATTAAATCCATGTAAGGCTCTATATTTGTATCTCTGGGTAAATATTGATTTTGAATTAGGGGAGAGGGGGGTAAAATGGATCTCCTAAACAAAAACTCATTCCTTGATAATTTTTACTCTTCAAATGAAAATTGAATTTTCTCCCTCTCACAATTTTCTGCAATTCTCCCGAATTGATTCGTCGAGACTATAAAAAATAATTAATTAATAATAATTAATAATTGATATTTCATTTCCGCTTCGTACAAATAGGATTTAACGTATCAGAAATCAGATTTTTATAATTGTTTATTTGTTTATTAATTGAATTTGGTACACATGATTAAAAATCCGTTTTAATTACTTAAATATGAAATTTAAACACGCATGGACGCATTAATTACTCCGCCCTTATGTCTCTATAAAAATGGGGGGTCCATTGAACCCACACAAAAATTCTGTTTGATTTTTCCAGAATAGAGTAGATCACAGAAAGCTTTGAATGAGATATCACCTGAATTGTTCGAAACGTGTCAATTCTTCGTGTGATCGACTTCACTCGATTGACTCTGCCTATGAAATCGAAAAAAACCTTTTTAAAACAACCGCCGTATCGCAACAGTGCCCACATGATCCATTTTACCCTCCCTTCCGCTAATGAATTTCCCCTTTTTTCGCATCATTCAATAGTGAATAAACTTCTAGATGACATTGATTGCAAGAGCCTGAGATTTGACCGAATGAGACACTTGAATGGCTACGAAATAAGAGCATTAGTAGCACCAAAAAACAACGTATCGTTCATTCCTGGTAAAAATTACAAGCAAGAGGGATACAAAATGGTGGAGTTCTTCGGTGAAGCTGTTTTTGATACCATAATCAATCGACTGAACGCAACATTGTTACTTCAAATTGATAAAATCAATCTCATACCACAATACATTGCTAATCAAACAATGGACATTGATATTAGATTTACATTATCATTTTCGAAGATCAACACAGGCTATCTCTATCCATACTTTCAACCGGAAGTCGTTGCTATTACAAGAACCAAAGATTACCTGTCAACAATTGAAAAAATATCACAGTTGTGGAGTAAATCTGTGCTAGCTCTGTCATTGCTCACGATTATAATCACATTTGGAGTAATAGCTGTATACAAACGACAGGGATTTTCACTAGCCTTGTTGGAGATGATCCGTCTTCTGACTTATGCCTCCATCCAGAATCAATTTCACAGCACCTCCATGAGAATTTTCTTCAGTAAAATTCTCATATTCATTGTCATCACTAACGGAGTGTTCCAAGGAAGACTAGCAGCTTTTTTGACAAAACCCGAAGAGGGCTACAATCCGAACAATTCTGAAGACTTGAAGAAGTTCAATTACACATTGTACGGAATTCAGCAAAACGTAGAGTATTTACGCACAATGTTTCCGAATAATCGGGTAGTTCTTGTGACCCAGAAAAATTGTGTGGAAAAGGCTCTTAGTTCATTTTCTGGAGCTTGCGTAGGGACTAAAGCAAAGTATTTGAACACATATTGGATGAAACCAATTCACATCACGAGAGAGCCGTTGTTTGTAGATTATTGGAACCACCAGTGCCGTAAAGATTGGCCTCTCAAGCATCGAGTTGATGCCGTTCTGACGCAGATTATGGAGTCCGGATTATTGGATCGCTGGGCATTCCATAGTATATCAACGGTACTCGATAAAAAACATGCTGAGGACGTTGAACGTGCTGCCTCCAAGTATCGCCCTGTTGAGCTCAAAGCATTGGATTTTTCATTTATATTATTGGCCATTGGATTAGTATTAGCAACTCTAGTATTATTTATCGAACTCATCATGAAGAAAGAAATTATCTCTGGAGTAAAAGAAGAAAGGATGTGTGCTATTGCATTAGCCAGACGTAGAACTACCATTTAAATGATAATTATAATTATGTGCTATCGAATATGTCGGTTATAAAAATATTTTTAGTGCTGTACTAAAACTTTTAACTCTACAACATGCAGTTTATACTCTTCTGAGAGGTCTCTTGATTGTACAATTTTTGAAAAAGATCATAAAATTTTATGCATCTATCGAAAAAGAAGAGAATTTTTATCACGTTTTTTTAACATACGTAGCACATGAGATTACTCCTGAGAGTTATTGAGGCCACGGGGCTTACAATCGAGTTTATTGCACGACATCGATTTTCTACTCAACTTTAGATGTTGTATCGTTTCTCGTTTTACTTCAATGGCTCGTTCCAATCTAGCTGATTTTTATATTATTTCATAGTGCCTTCCTCAATTCAGTAAACCCTCATAAAACAAGGCTATATTTTTTTAAATCAATACTCATGGTAACAACAAATCAAAGATTTACGACGAGCCACGGTTTTTCTTTGACAAAATTGCAGATATTTATTTAGATTTTTTTTTTTTCGTTGCTTCATCGTACTTTAAGTCGTCCAACTGGAGTGACAGTTGGACGCTCGAGAAACTTGTGCTGATGGAATTGAATTACAACTTTATGATACGCTCCTGGTATGCTTAAAAAATTCACTCTCTTCTTTTATTACTTTATGACTTTTTCTTTCGTTTTTCTTTTCATCCGAAGAGTTGATTTTTTTGGGAACATTCCGCCGTTAGGGGTGCCATTTTCCGGTGATTTTCAAAAAATTATTTTTGCTTTTTGCATTAACAATCAATTGCAGTGATCCAAAAATATAAATAAATAATAAAAATAAATAAAATACATATATACCTCAATTCCACAAAAATCCATCACCTCATCAGAAATTGAAAAAATAGTTTTTGAAAAATCATCAGATTTGGCATCCGTGCCGCCATGGAGTTATTACAACATGGTCAGTGATTTTTAACGAAAAAAATTAATAATTTTCAACTGTTAACGATATCATGGTGAGGATCCAGAGTTTTCGAGAATTCGCGTGAAAATTTGCGTAATATTTTCTGTCAAGTATTTCATGTTGGCATTAACATGGACTGACAGATATGACAGACACGTATTGAATTATACTCGATTGAATGAGAGCTCTCAATGTCGAATGCGCCCTCTCAATCGAAATTCTTCGCTAACAATTACGTAAGGAAATTTGCAGAACAGACAACATCCTAGAGGTTCCAGTTTCAATTCCCTCTTTCCCACTATTAAAGATCCTCCGAGTTCATTCCCCAAGAATGAACGTCATGGATCCATTTCAACTCACTAATTGGATGATAATTGAATTTCATGCAATTGTGATTGACTATAGATAAGACGAAAAAGAAGAAGAATGTGATTGGAGTTTGTTATCTCTCTCGAGGGAAATACGAGTCTGGAACTTGTGATGAATCCATCTATTGTCTCTGTGAAGTGTATGACAAACATTGCAAAGTCTGTAATTGATTTCAGAATCAATTGCACTCGATTCGCTTGGTATATGGGTAGTTCCATGGAAATAATGATGATCACGAAATCACTCTTCATCATCATTACAAGATAATACCTGATACAAAGGGAGTGAGTTAGTGCTGAATGACCAGATAGTCCCTTGAACATTCTTGGAGATGAATAACTTTTCTGAATATGGGATTTGCCAGTCGGTGCTACGATGCTCAAGAGTATTTATGTCAGTACCGTGTCTTAAATAATTAATTTCTTCATCATTTGCTCCACCATATCACACGTCATACTCGGAATTGACTTACGAAAGGTGCCACCACATGTTTCTTATTTATTTCATTCAATTTGATAATTTTCTGCTATCGTTCTCAAGAAATATCTCAAAACGTACTGTCAATGTCAGTACCGTGACTTTCTGAAAATTTGCTGCTGATGCTATACTGATTAACATAAGCACTTCAAAATTAGTCCACTCGGAGAGTACATCAATATCTTATTTTATCAATGTGTCTACGATCGTTTGGCTGAGGCTGGAGAAGCGCATCTGAATTTTTCACATCAGACGCCTAGACTCCATTATTTCGTATTTCTCTCCAACAACATGACAGTATGATGAATAATTTAGCGGGAGAACATATTATTAAATATTATAAAATAACATGCATCATTTACTCCACCATATCACGGACCATACTCTGAATTTTTTCTTTTTTTTCATTTTTTTTTTCATTCAAATTTGATAATTTTCTGCTATCGTTCTCAAGAAATGTCTTAAAACATACCGTCAATCTCAGTACCATGACTTTCTGAAAATTTGCTCCAGATGACTGATTGGCATAAGTATTTCAAAATTAATCAAAAGCCCACTGGAAGAGTCCATCAGCAATCTCTCAGCGTTATCTACCTAATTGAGTCCACCAAAATTTCTATTCATTCCTTTCTTTTTAATATTTATGAACATGATCAATACCTCAGAAGAATTGAAAATTAGATGAAGTACTCATTTATAATATTACCAATATTTTATTCCTGTTCCGGCACATAATTTAGCATCATTAGGTGAAAAAAAGCAATACAAAAAGCGACCATGATGTCCAGAACAGGGGTATCAGATCGGATTTCATCCTGAGAAATTTCGTATCCTTCAACGAGTATACTCTTGATTCTTTGTATGGTACGGTACGTGATGAGCGTAATAGATAGAGTAGCCAGGACTTATAACACAGTGCGATCACGTATGGAAACGGCGGTACGGTCCGTTAACGTTTACGTACAAATGTAATAACGTTGTGCTCAACGGCAGGATTGTCGAGAATGGCTCACGTGTCATCTACCCTCTCAAAACTTTATGACACCTGATAACATAGAATTGTACTAAATAATAATCTAACTTGTTTTTAACAAGCATAATATTATAAAATCAGATTTGGTTTTGTAATTAAGGGCCGGATGGACTGTTTGGAAAAGATAATTTACTCAAAAATTGGGACTTCTAATTACTCCGTCAATTAATCGTTTTTTCCGATAATTGTTAGCTAGCGGCCTAGTTGTTAACAACCGCTAGAAAGCTAGCTAACAATTATTGAAAAAAAAACGATTAATTACGAGAGTAATTATGAATCCCAATTTTGGAGTAAATGATCTTTTCCAGGTAATCCAACCGGTTCTTAAATAAGTTTATTAAAATTCGAAAAAGAATTGAAATAATTGATCGAAGAGGAGACATGGCAACGACTCAAGACAATGACAAAGATCAATGACAGAATAAAAAGGAAGAGACGATTTGTACTTAGACTTAGCTGAGAAGAGAATGGATTAAATACAAAGCAATATGAATTAGAGGAATCTGGATAATCTCGAAATGCGAGAGATAAAAAAATAGTTATTACAAAAAAAAATGTCGGTGCTGTGTTGTCTTATTTTTTGATGTTGGTCATATTTGATATTTTGTTGAAAGTATATTTTACCTTGACGACTAAAGCACGAGTACAAAAGAAATTTTCTTTGAGACGCTACATGAAACCTTTGAATTTTTTTAGTGAACATTTTTTTTTCATATCTCCCCTGGTTTTTTTCTCTCAGAGCTGTTCCTAGCGTTAATGGAAAAACCAGTAGTGCTAGAGGATAATCCCCATGGTTAGGTCTAAAATATTAAAACAACGAAAGTAAAAATGAAATAATCAAAAAGAGTAGAGTAGAAGTAATAAAATTGCAATGTCAATTCCCTCAAATTTCCCATAGGTATCCACTGTAAAATTCTCTATATTCAACCTGCGATCGTAATAATAACAATAACAATCGGGGCTTGGAAAATCGATGATGGTAGCTATGAAAGTTTAGTACTCCATCCATTAATTCTAATCCTCGCTTCCCACAGACCTGCGTTTATATCTGACCTCTCATATCTCCCCTTCCACACTCCAAAATCCATGCAAACTTTTCCACAATGGTTAAGGGTAGTACTCTTCCATGGAAATATCGAAAAGCACCGGAAATTGTATGAATATAAGTCTGGGACAAATTTTCATTTCAATCATTCTCCTGAAAATGCAATTAAAAACACCCTGTAGTAATTTTGTAACTCTCTGGACCGCGAAGCTTTTGTTTAACCATTCATTATTAAACAGTCGACTAAAATTTCATTCAATTCATCGAAATTTTTCCTGTTATTTTTCTCTATTTATTCTTCTTGGGTTCAATTTACATGAATAGTATTTATCAACAACTGTTTGCATTGCTGTTCATATTTTTTATCGATAAAGCGATAAGATTACAAAGAGATAAATGAAGTTAAAATTTATTCCGAAATTATCACTTATTCTAGGTTCTTTAATTTGATCCTTCAGCGGGCCAATTTCCTCCACCACCTGAGGAAAGGCTTTTTCTTTTTCAGTTTCTGCCTTCATTCTCTTCGATATTCCAAGAGAAAACTTTTTCCTCAACATTGAACTTTTCCATTCCTTTTTTCCATTTTCACCTTTTTCCCCCCATTCTATCGAAACTATTTCGTCGGAAAGTCCTCATTAACGTTGAAGGCACTTTGAAAGAAGTACATACTGAACAAGAATAATCAAAAGATGATGAACAAAGAATGATTGAATTCTTGGCTTATTAAGAAGTTGAAGAGATTAAACATGAAGAACTTTCATATTTTTCCGATATTTTTACTCTCAACCTCCATTGAAAATTCTCTCACTAATCCATACCAACGAATTATATTTTTATACAAATTAGAAAGAATTTGGAAGCTCATAGGAAACTGTAAATAAAATTAATTTGTCATGAACGGAGAGAAATTCGGAATAAAAATTGTCCCGACGGTAGGATAAAAGTGAGACTCACTGGAATCTTTATTCTGACGTTTAGCAAAAATTGATATAAAAATAATAAAATTTATTAATTGTTAAATCTATTTTGTCATGCGCTTCCCACGTGCACTCGTCAGATCCACTCTTTCCACCCTAGCCGGGAAAAATACTATTATCCCAATGAATAATAATTATCCCCATCCAGCGAATGGTGATGATATATTTATGCAAATTTATATGGGTTAAAATAAATAATCTACATGAGAACCAGAAATTATTGTTAGTCAGTTATTAATTATTAAAATTAAATTAACCTGCCCCAGAATTTTTACTCATGAATTTTTATTCAGAAAATCATTAAAACTCTCCAGATATTTAATAATTTTCATCCAATATTATATTATTGAGGACAAATTTTATTCTGAAACATTCTCAAAATTGATTTTTTCAAATTGTTATTGGATGACGCAAATATTAATAGAATAATCCTCCAATCAGGACAACTTTTATCTAGATTCCATTATAATTTTTTACTAAAAATTTCTCTCCGTGTAGTTCTACATAATAAAACTTCCAGGATTTATCATGATGAAATAATTATATTGGCTGGTCACATCGTGCCACCAATTAGTCACAAATCCTTCTGACAATTGGCAGTGCTGTGATAATTGATAATTATAACACATTCTACAATATTGCCACGGTGGATGCACAGCGTAATTTCCGTGAATAGTAAACTAAGGCGCTAATTAATGCTTCAGTAGGATAATTAAGTGCTCATTCAACCAGCTGTACCTGTGAATCTTTGCAACTGAGTTTATACCGAGCATTCTATTAGTTCACCGTCATAAAGAATTCTGTCTGTGGTGCGAGTAGTTCGGTGCGCTGAAAAAAATTCTTCTCGAGCTCTTCCTGGATTAATTAAATTTTTTGAATCAGAGGATTTCTCTGAACCGTCGAAAATTTCGGGGTAGTAACACTAACAGCAGCATGGACTAATGTAATTACGCGTAACACGCGTCCCCTAGTAATACGATTTTTTCACTTGATTCAATTAATTCAGATTTTTTTTTATATTCCGGTCCTTTCCGCCCTGTTCTGGCTAATTCGCTCTATCTCACTCTGATCCTACACTGTACCGTATTCACTCTTCTATAGAAAATAGGATTGACCTGGGAAACCACAGAAAATACCATGTCGGTACAGGTGGTTCCTCTATTAGCAACCTCCCACTCATCGGTGCCTGTTAAAAAATTCGATTCAACGGGAAATCAAACTCAACTATCAGAACACTAGGCTCACACCTAGCCACTGAGCTACCGACGTCAGTAATTAATTCAGTCAATGAAATAAAAACTGCATCGATATAGAGATTCTCTCGCAATCAAGACTAGCGCTGTTCGTTGGAGTTGAAATGTCAGAGCATTTGTTTCCAGTTCTGGGATCATGAAAACTTTAGGTCAAAGTATTGTAATGACTATGCAAAAACAACTGGTGAACAAGTGTTTATCCATTAGAGATGCAAACGGAAGGCGCGTAGCGGTGGCATCCTCAAAATAATTTCCGCCCGGTCTAGGTGAATGAAGAGGATTCATGGATAATTCATATCCCGGAAATTTGTAGAAATACCAGCAGGAAAATACTGTGTAGAGGGCTTGCAGATTAATTGATGTCAGAAACTCCAATGACAAAGTTTTCGTCAAGTTCTGCATGTACAATGATCAAGTTTAAATCCATTAATCACTCATGCTCAAACTACTTGTCATTTTCCCTGATAATTCATCACTTCTATCGTTTCCACAATATTTCAAACATTTTATTACCTCGAGAATCATTAGAGTCGGCTGCTTTATCCCAACTAGATGTAATTCAAATTTTTCGGTTCTCTTGTTATGTATTATAACGAATAAAGCATGGGGAAAGCAACTCGGAAATTGAATACCTGAATACGGAAGAATGAAGGGAAATTTAATTTCCGGCTTGGTTTGCTTTCTTAATATTACCTAGTATTTTTTTTTTTGCCCCAGTTCTGTAGGGAACCTTCATGAGCAATGGAGATTGAAAGTCTTTGAGCAACCGACCAACTTTCCCTAAATAAAACACCACCTTTTTTTGTGATCCCGGAAGACAAAGTTTCCCCCTTTCATTAACGTTTGGCGAAAAACAATTTTCCCTCCTTTGTTTAATTCTGCGTTATCAAATACTTTCATACCATTCATACCCCCACGAAATTCAACAGATCGACTAGTCAATATCGCGTTCAACCGACAAAAATATTCAATTCCAAGGTAGATTTGCTGCTGGCAGTGTGTCAAATGGGAATAGACTATAATAGAAATGAAAAAGAGTTGCTTGGAGACGAGATTGAAATTGAATAAAGCTATTCGTATTTTTCATTGAAAAGTTAAATTCGACAATATCTGAAGGAAAAGTTGTGGAAAGCCTGTCTACTATTGTCTCTTAACATCTCCAAGCACAAGTACAAACCCGCAGAAGATAAAACAATGGTAAAAAGCTCGAAAGAGTACTATCGTAAAGATCGATCTGGCCTGGGCTTTTGTCACAGCGTGCAGAATCAACGGAAGATGAAGACAATGGAACGGTAGACTGGATAGACAGTAATAACGTATCTACGGGTTGTTTCCAGGGAGATGAAACAAAATGACAAAAAAATATTGTTATATAAAGTTATGGAAAATTATGAGGATTTCGATGAAACCTTTGAGATAAAGTTAATAATCCCTACGGCCAAGAACTGATGTCCGAGTTCTCAACTAATATAAACGTACGGTGAACTAAAAGCCAAAGTCTGTCAAATTTACACGCGATACATTTGAATCAACGCAAATGGCTTTTGACAGTTCATTTGAATTTGCAGTTGAGCCTTTTGATCTATTGAGAACGATAAATTAACTGTTTGTTGCTGTTATCGCAACTTGTTGACGTAAATAACCTTAGGAAAAATGGAACATATTTCCTTGATTTGAGGTTTGACAAGAACGATGGCAGGAAAATTGGGGAATGAGGCACAAAACCAACGAAATGCTGCAATAATCCGGGAATTTATGGGGTTACCAGTCGTAAAACCGTCGGTGGTTGGTTAGTAACTACATGGCAGTCACTACATAAACCAGTAACTGTACGCGTGGATATACCTATGGACGTGAGTTCACCTTGGGAGCGATTTGCATGGGATTTGAATCACTGAAAACCCATGGGACACATGGCTAGTCCGCGTGTTAAAGGATACGTACATTTTTTTTTTTTCAAATTCATTTCAATTCAGGTGTCGAAACTGGTCAGGATAACGAAAAAAATAATTCTTTTTTCCTCTCCCATTTGGTATTGTGAAACCATTCTATATTTTTATATTATGTTACAGATCAAATGAACTAGCGGCATCAAAAAGGAGTGATACAATTGAAAAGCATGACTTTTTTACCCAGTCGAACATCCCGCAAGGGTACTGTACTATGTTTTATCGCGCTGCTCTTCCTCTTTGCACTTTATCAACTGGGAATCATATGCGGGAGTGGAAAGGATCAAGGAACGACAATGATGGTAGCTAGAGAAGTAAGTTTTCCGCAATGAAAATATTTTCATTTATAGCAATCTTCCCTTTTATCCCTTCATTCAATTTTCCGCATGAAGAATTGGAGATGAAACT